TGGTGGTAGGGCGACATTGAAGTCGGCCCGCTCCCCTGGAAGCGAGTTGTTTGCGGAGGCATGTTCTGTATAGACTTCTTTTTAGACCACGCCTAAAGGTGCTGTAATTGATCGGCTTTCTGCGAAAACTGTGGATTAACTCGGTGTTGCACGGGGCGTGCAGGAAGCCCCTGCGGTAATCGGGGTGCGAGGTGCTGCGAGGCTGGTCCTGTGAGAACCGGCCGAGTCGAACGGCCGTTTTGAGAGTCGTTGGGGCCTAGGTTCCGCTCCTCTCCCGGACGGCGTGGGACTGTTCCCGGATGGAACGGGGCTGCTCCCGGACGGAGTGGGATTGCTCCCGGAGGCAAGCGGTCCTCCGGCTGCTTGTTTGGCAACGGGGAACTTATCGCGTCGGCTTTCCAGGGCTTCCGAGAACCTAAGACAAGATGAAGAATATCGACCCTCGAGCGCGGGTGTATCTCGTGCCGCCAGACGGACCAGAGTCGACAAAGTCGCGGCGGGGTTTCGATCGCGGCAGCAAAGCGTGGCGCCGTAAAGCCGGGCTCGTCGTCGACTTGTCGCGAGGTGGGGACGAATCGTACTGTTAGCAAAGACGTATTGCTGCAGGAGGAGAGAGAGAGAGAGAGAGAGGAAGGGCAAATAAAATACACCGCGTGGTCAAGGTTGCCCGACTGGCGAGGATTGGGGGGACTTGAGGAACCGGCGAGGAGTGTGTAGTTGACCGTGGGTTTGCTGCTGCAAGGTGCAAATGCCTAATTGTACCTGGGCACAGACCACCTCTGGGGACACACACAGTCACACACCACACCTCCACGTTTACTTAGCTAAGCAGCAGGGGCTGCCGTGCACGACCTGCGTCGCCGGAGAGCTCTCAATTGACGCCCATGATCTGAACTGACAAGCAATTGCCAGTGCCACCATGCATCCCTCAAGGTCCGTCGACATTCCCGATTGCGCCTGAAGCCATAGAGACCCAAAACTGACGCATCGCAACACCAGAATACTACGAGCCGCGCACGGCGAGAAGCCAAGCATCACGGGCTTCGACGTCCGCCGCTTCACAAAGGCCTCGGCCGTCCCGCGATACGACCCGTGGGAGAGGGCGTCAGTCTTTTCTCTTCCCTCTTTTCCCTCGTAGGAAACTGACGCAATTGACGATACAGCGAGGCGTGGCGATACATCGGCCGCTTCAGCCGATTCAACCGCTTCAAGAACGCGTTCCCCGGCCTCGGCATCGCGACGGTCGCCTTCGCCGGCTACTGTGCGTACGAGTACATGTTTCTCAAGGACGAGCACCACGGGCACGGCGCGGAACATGGGGAGGGCCACCACTAGATTTCCCGGGCTGGCAGCGGGTGTGTTGAGATAGCGGGGCGAACTGCGGACTGTATATATGGAATGGACTCGGTTCAAGGCATCATAGACCCTTCAATAGTGTGCATAAACATCACATTGGACGGTGCTGAGTATCTGGTTAGAGACTGCGTGGCATTGGACGACCCGGTCCGGGTTGAGATTGTGAAATCACGAGTCTCCGCCTCGAGATCAACTTAGCGGATATCTGAGTTATTATTCGGTTTCATTTTACGCTGTTTTCCCGGTACTCGACTCCCTCGGTCTTGGTTTGTTGAAGCCGGATTCGAAACGGGACCACACCATGTCTGTATACTCTCGTTCCTTAGCCCAGCTCAGATATGGTCTCCCCTCCGGGAACGTCGTCATGGCACACTCACCACCCACCCACATCCCGACCATAGATGTCTGCTCCAAAGCTAAATCACAATCCAGTTCATGAAACTTACCGCAACTGTACGTGCATTTACGGAGTAGTCATATTTCAAATATGTGATATTTGCAATCTACCCCGTCCCGTGATATTATCGGCCAGACCTATGCATCCAACAATAATACGCCATCCCCTTCATAACCCGTAATCCAGTCTAGTAGCCAAAATGCAACCGGCGCAGCTTCGTATCCAACGCCAAAATCAAGCCCTGGTATTCATTGCGCCATAGGAGTTTCCCACATCTTGAAGAAAACAGCCGAGCCGGTAAGCGTGATCAGCATCGCAGACCGATACCGTTGACCAAATCCAGTGCGCCTTCCACAGCCACCTCGAGCTCCCCAACCCGTTGCTTAAGATGTCGATTTTCGTCTCTCAGCAGTCCAACCGTGTCCCAGGCCACGCTTGCGTCTTGGCCCTTGCAGTTCCTACATTCATTCACAGCCTGCTCTTCAGCATCACCGGCGATGCCCTTGATGATTTTCTGGAACGCCGTCATCTCCTTTTGCGGCTGTGTCCTCGGCCTACCTGGGAGCCCGATGGAGGAGCTGTTTCTGACGTGTAGAACTTGCTGGTGTTGAGGAGTGGCCGTGCCATCCATCGCTTCCCCAATGGTCAGAGTAGGACTTCGACATCGCGAGAAGACACTCTCGCTCTCGGCGCTTTCATCGTCGGTATCGAAACTCGCCTCGGACTTGACTGTCTCGCCACTCTTGCGCACCCATTTTCGGCGGCGTCGCTCCTCGTCCACGCCGAGATCTTCCGATATCATTGAGCCTTCCGACAGACACTTCTCCATCTCCACCCTTGCCCTGCGCTCGGCAGCCAGCTCTTCCATCAGGAGCTTCATCTCCCTCTCTTGCTCCTGCGCCTTCCGTGCCATGCCTTCGAGTTGCATTTTGAGGTGTCGCGCCCTGGTCTCGGCTTCTTCCATCTCCTCACGCTGAGCCAGCTTCTCGGCCTGCAACTCCTTTACCGTCGCGACCCGGTCGCGGTACGCACTCTGCATCCTGTTGAGCAAACCAACAGCGTTCATCTGCAAGTTCTTAAAGGCCGCCGGCGAAAAGGTATCCCGATCCCCATTCGGCGAATTTGGCGAGCTGGGCGGGAAGAGAGCGGCTTCGACATTGAGATTGCAGAGCTCATCGTCGATGATCGGGCTCACAGGCGTAGAGGCAAAACGTGATGAAAGAGCCGACATGAATCGAGAAGCAGTGGTTGTGACACTGCTCTTTGGCGTGGTTGGGTCGACGGAGGCTCCCGTATTTCGTCTGAGTTTCGTTGGCGTCGTGTCGGCAGCCGATTCGTCGTCCCTGGGCGCTGCTCCGGCACCAAACCAGCTGGCGATTCCGCCCTTTGGGCTATCTACCCTCGCGCCGGGTCGGCCGTCCCCTGTGAGCGGCATCGGTTCCTGTAGGCGTGTTTGTTTTCTGACGGGCGATGGTGTTCTGCTCCGGAAGGCGGCTGGGAGCAGGTTGGGAAATGACTGTTGACGGCGGTGGTTGGCGGTGGAGCTGCGAGAACCGAGCTCCGCATCGGAAAAGCCGCTGTGGTACTCTGATAACGGAGACAGCGAGGGATGGGGCGGGTATGGCGACTGCTGGGGAGCCGGCCGGGATGGAGCTACGCGCTTGTCGACCTCTCGTGGGGAAACATATCCATCCAAAGCCGCGATCTGGGTTGAAGGTGCTCGCGGGGGAGCACGGCCGGCGAGAGTCGGACGCGCATAGGGAAAGGGCAGCTCCGGAGGAGGGGAGGAAAAAGCAGGGTTGGCGCCGCTTAGCATGATGTGTTAAGGTTTCGGGGCGGGCGAAGTATATCCTTGGTTATATTCCCTCGATTCCCCGGTCGAGCCTCCAGTTGGCTGACTCTGTGTTTCGCCGACCCACCGGCTCCGGGTCAGTGGCAACGTGGAGGAATTTCCTGTGGCCTTTTTGTGTCCGTTCCAATTACCCGCAGCAACCGTCTGAACGCAGACCGTGTGCGCGAGCTGGAATGTGACGACGCAGAGACTAACGACAGCACTACTCAGCCCGGGGAGCAAACTGACAAGCGGGCCCGAGACGTTGAAGAGACGCGGCGATGGACGGTGATCAGAGATTTCTCGCGCAGCGAGTCTCTCAACCAGGATCACCCTGACGACAATCCAGGAAACGCGTGAAAAAAAACGATGCAGCAGCGAGAGGCGACCCGCAAAGATAGGGAAAAATTGCAGAGAAGCGAGTGAAGCAGCAATTATGCCGCGTCTGTGATTCATGCGCCGAGGGAGGGATGAACTGGAAAGAGGGGAAATATCACGACAGGGCGTGAGGGGAAGTTGCTAGCAAAGAGGAAAGAAAACAAATCGTTCTGGCCGAGCTACCAGGGTGCCCTGGGCTCTTTCTGTCTGTGAAAGCGGCGCGCGGAAGCTGACGTCTGCCTGCCGACAGGGTTCCCCGCTGTTGCATTTCAGCTGACGACAGGTGGAATCCACAAATCTCGACGACGTTTGCAAATCATGCTCGATTTCTTGTGAGCTTGCCAAGGATCGCAGAGTTGCCAATGGTGAATTCCAACGTGTTTGGTTTCGATTTGAGATGTGTTGAGGCAGATTTTGTGCCGCGCAAGGCATAACCATAGGACTCAACCAACCATGCCAGCGACAGCTCCCACAGTTCCCAGGCTTGGATCGACAGCAGGATGGACGGTTGATCCGCGCTCAGATCCAGGAAACTCTGGGGGTTTTACCAAAACAAAAGTCCTTCAAAACCCGGGCGCTGCTTCCGCTGCGTTTGTTTCTTGGTATGGCCAAGGCCCGGGTGCCAAGTGCACATAGACTTGAGCGGTGTAGCCGTGGAGCAAGCTATACCCTGGCTGAGGAGGGCAAACAAACAAAAAACACAACTCCACATATTGAACAACATACCGACATGTCCAACCGGCATCGGACGACTCCGACATGACAAAAATCTCAAGTCCAAGGGACCCAAGATTCAAGATACCGTAGTCCATGCCGAAGGCTGGGAAACACTGAGTTAAAAAACACAGAGTGGATATGTTGAACCCACTGTCCCCAGCCATCCAACCTGTCAATCACACCAACCCTCAAGCCACCACCGCGCCGTCGCAAGCTTCCCAACTAACCACAGACCAAGGTACAGTACGCAAGGTACTAAAGCAATCCAACGCATAAAATTAACTTTACCACACCCCCCACCATCAACCGGCCCGCCCGCCCGCCTCTATAGCTCAGTGGTAGAGCGCTTCACTCGTACTTCTCTCTCTTAACCTTCCTCTCTTCTCCAAGACAGGAACCGAATCTGAAGAAGAAAATTCGAATGAAGAGGTCATTAGTTCGACTCTGATTGGAGGCATTTGTATCATATCTCCCTCTCTTCTCTGGAAGGAGGGTCTTCCCTCTTTTTTCTCTCCTTTTTTTTGGTAGGTTGTTCCTAGACATTTTGTCAAATCCATTGCCTACGGTTAGGATGTAGCACATGCGTCCCAAGTAGTTTGCGGTGGTCACCGTCCACATAACATATTGCCTGTTACAGAGAGAGCAAAATGACATGGGCTGTCTTCGTTCACACTGCGCAGAACAAAATCAAAAGTCATGACAAAACGGCAGAGGCACAATGCTTGCTTGGAATTATCCATGCCAGAACCAAAACGCTGAACCACACCGTCCATGCTATGTCCATGATAAACATGCTTTCATGAATCCCTTTTCCTATCCCCAGGACCTCTGAGGACCATAACATCCACCCTAATCCCAAGACAACCAAACAAGCAATGCCGCCCCCTTTTCCTTCCCTCCCCACTCAGTAAAACGACTCGACCATGGTATCTTTGAGGTTAGTATTAATCGCCCCCGGCGCCGCCCCCTCGCCTAACCGGAACACGCTCTCAATAACGCTCAGCTCCGGCGCCGTGGTATCCAGCCCCGTGACCGCCATCCAGTCGTTGACCACTATGCCGCCCCCAATCACGTTGCTGCCCCTGTTCACGGACCCGGCGACGAGCGGCACCTGCAGCAGGCTGCTCAGCTCGTCCTGGTCCTGGATGCTCGTCTTGGGATGCACCAGCCCGCCCCGGTTGCTGAGCGCCATGTAGCTCCCCACCAGCACGTTGTCCGCCACCGTCTGCCGGAAGACCTCGACCCCGAGCACGTCGGCGATGATCTCCTCGGTCTCGCGCTCCAGGTCCGGGTGGACCAGCGCGATGTGGTCGTTGGTCACGATCACGTTGCCCAGCGCCGAGAGGCGCTCTTCGATTCGCTGGATGCGGATCGTGTCGGGCAGACTGTTGCGGAGGTGTTGCAGTTCCTGGTCGGATGTGGACGTGGGCACGAGGAGGCCTTTTCGGTTTCTTTGTTTCCCCCCAACTTGTCAACAACAATTTTCCAGACGGACGACAGAAAAAGAGAGAGAGAGAGAGAAAACACATACCCAGCTGTTAACCGTCCAATGATCCGCGTCCCCGCAATCGTCGTCCGGCAGATGGGAATCACATCTTGCAACTCGGCCTCGAACACGCTGTAGAAGTTTTCGCTCGCGCCCACCGCCACGAGCGCGTACGAGTTTGTGAGCGTCGCGAATACTCCGACCCTGTTTTTTTAATCTCAATCAGCCTCAGCTCCCAAATTCTCAGGGCCAAAAGCTTTTGCCTCCTCGCCCAGCCTCGAAGTAGAGAGCAGCCAGCCAGCCCAGCGCCGCGCAAACCTCGAGGTGGGGCAATCTCACCCTCCTCCCCTTCCTCCCCCCATTTCGCCGCGGATGTGTGTGAACAAAACTTACTCATTAGAGTTCTCAAACTGTGCTCGAACAGCCATATTTTCTGATTTTTCTTCTCCTGTTTACCGATTCTCTAGTTTTCGCAAACGGTTGTAGGTAAAAAAAAAATGTCAGCAACGAAAAAGGATCTAGGCGGGGTCGAGTGCCGTGCTGCTGCGGTAGAATAGGTAGTTCGTTGGAGAGCAAGGTTTTGGAGGGGTAGAATTTCGCTGCTTTTTATCTCCCGTCACCGCGCTCCAGTTCAAGAGCTTAACCAAACGACGATAAGGAAAAGTGGATCTTTACAAAGTCGCCCCCTTTCCGCCTGGAACACGCTTACCCAGAAAAGTATTGCCAGAATGCTAGAAAGCCCTTGATGACTCAATTGAAGCTTGTATAAGCTGCTTGGAACGTCCGAGGCAAGAGGCGGAGGCAAGATGCTGCTCCCGCTGTGACTCAGCACCAGCCAAATACGGCTACCTCAACCCGTTTTTCATCATGATTCATCGGCAGCCACAGCATGATTCGGTAAATGACTGCAACCCGAAGCCTCAACAGCCACCAGAGGCGTTTTTTCGCATCGATTCCAAAGCGTATTCAGATACTGCATTGAATGCAACTGCTAGTTTATAGACTATTCCCGCCAATGAAACTCTTGACGGAAGTGGTCGAAGAGCCCACAAACCCCCGTTAACCACCAGCCCACGACTAATTATATATATACCATGTCCCCATTCCCAAGTCAACGCCATAGTAATTCGCATAATGGAACAGTGCATACATGTTGGTGGGCGGCAAGACCGACCCTCGAATCAGCTCCCAACCCTCATCTTCTAGTATCCAGACACCTTGTTACCTTGTCCCTAACGCCGCATCGTATAATTCCAGCTACCGCGTCTCGACTGAAGGAAAGTACCTCGGGCCCGCAAATCCCTTGGCTATAACTGTTTGGATATCGATATTCTTCTTGTCGTCGTGATACGGTGTCCAGATTTTAAGTAGCAGAAACCGCGCGCTGACGGGCGGATCAAAACTGATGGTGCACTTGTTCTTGGTCTTGTCGATATGGAAATGCGCCAGGGGTGCCATGAGGGATCCACCTACGGCTCGCACCGCTTCTTGTGTTGCGATTTGGTTAGCTTCTCGCGCTTCTTCGAGCGTTATGCCTCCAAGATCTCCACCACTATTTCGACCCCGGTATCGCTCCGAGTCCAAGAGATGTGAGGGACCCACGGAGCGGAGGCGGATATCGTCAAAAGTCCAGTTCGTCGTAGTTGGAGCCCCCCACACGTCTGCGCCATCATCACTGCCATCACTCTCAAATGGTAGCGTGCCAATCCTGTTGACGGGTCGCCGACTCGGGGGCTGGGAGCCGGGAGAGTTTTCATCCCCGCTCTGGTCGTCGCTGCACTCGGTAGCAACACTGAACGGCTCTCGTCGGTCTGTAAATTCGTGGGGAATATGAGCTGCTCGGCACTCGTCGTCGTCATCTTCGTAGTAATTACTCGGCTGATATCCTCTCATGCGTATCCTCGGGATGTCGTCGTCATGTCGTATCGAGTAGACAGGAGGCAGACCAGCCCGTGACGGCAAATACTGAATTTGGTACTGAGCCGTGCGTGTCAAGAGATCATCTTGGTCCATCGACACAAACACCATACCCTCGCGGACACTGAGATGGTAAGCCAAGTCCAAGTCAAGAACAAGAGCGACCTACGGTGCGTTGAAACGGCTCGTCGCTGGTGCTTTGATGACCAGCTCCTTAAGGCTGAACACGGTGCCGCCCTGATGCCGCAGGACAATATTACACCGGTAACTCCTGGTGCAATACACCGAGTTGTCGTTCTTGAGAATGTTCTCGGCAGCATAGACAGAACCGTCCCGTAGCCCGTCGGACGGGTACACCCCGCCATCACAGCTGACAATCTCCATGGTCAGCTGACCGGGTTCGAGCTGCCCGTACCTACCGTAGCGGACCGCCTTGGAACCGCCTCCGATCTTGTCCGAGTCCAGCTTCCGCCGCTTGACGCGACGGCTGTCCTCGACAGGGTCGCTCGTCTGCAGAGGAGGCGAGGGAGCAGGTTGAGACAGGAATGGCGAACTGCTCTGCTCGAGCAAAGTCCGGATCCGCGAGTTGGTCTCGTCCGAGGCCCGCTGGATGTCCTCCAAGCTGGGCAAATCTCTCCCCATCACCGAGCGGTACCGGGTATCGCTCGATGGGCGGTCGCGGTGGCGGGTCGAACGGCTTCCCGACTCGCCAGATGAGAGCGTATTCAAGCGGCGTAGTGCTCGGAGGGGCGGGAGCGAATTGGCCGGTCGGAGCATCGAGTTGGGAGGGTCACGATTGAACCGCTGGCGGAGTTCCCGGTCTGAACCTGACGACATGTCGGCGAGAGTGGATGGGGTGGCGTTCGCGGCCGAGAGGACACGATCGACGTTCTGGTGAAACCTGGCTATGGCTCTCTGCAGCTCGTCGTTGGGGGCACTGGTCGCCGCTCCCTCGTTCTCATCGGGGTTCGTGATCGTCTGGAGGTATTCCGAAAAGCGCCGATTCCGGAAAGGGTCCCTCGGGCTGCGGCTGCCGGACTGATGGCCGTGCTGGTTAGCAACTGTCGACGAAGTAGTTGCGAGTCGACGGGGTCAATCTCGGGCGACGTCGTCTTACCATAAGCGACAAAGGATCGCGCGAGGTTTGATTGAAGCCTGCAGCTGGCACAGCCAGGGAGGGGTAGCGCGATCTTGTTAGGGACTAAGGCAAACCAGCCGTTGGTGTTGTAGACGGTGCGTTTGTGGTGGACGGGTGTCGGTTGTCGGAATGGTTGTCAGTGGAGAAGCGTGGGCGAGGGGAGTGGCATTCAAATGGCGAGGGCAGGTGGAAGGACGTCAAACAAGAGTCAAGGACTGGCTGGGTACAGGCGCCTTCACCGGCTGAGCAGACGTCCGTCAACCAGCCGGCAGCGGGGAACCTGTCCTGGAATAACGTTAATTGTTAGCGGGCACCTGTGCCGCTGCATGCGAGGAGGGTGGGTCCGAGTATCACTTTAACTCGCGTTAGTGCCAAGGACTCCTGTGCCCGGCGTGTCATTCGTTGCGCGTCCAACCAACACTGAACAGTGCAGATCCTCGCAACTTGAGCTGGGCAACCTCTGATCCTGCTCAAGGCAAACGGGCAACAAACGGCTTGTGGGTGGGTGCATTTCATTCGGCGGTGGGAACTGCACAGGTCAAGCTATAAAGCCGGCCTCGACAGTAGTGGGCGACGCAAACTGCAGCTAGCTCCGAAAATTGCTGAATCTCGCCGTTTGTTGCTGTGCAAGCTTCGTGCCCACAACCCGTTCGTTGATGCGCTTTCAGGACTGGGTCAAGTATCCTGGGGTTTAAAGACTCCCTTCGCCCTCGTTTTCTGTCTTCAACTTGCACTTTTCATCACGACAAAATGGCGAATTCCGACACCGCAAACCCGCAGGCCAACGGGTCCAACCCTCCGCCGAATGGCATCAGCGCCGGTGAGCAACAGCCACATGCCACCAATATATATATATCTATATATATATCTATATATACAAGACCTAACCCCTGTGAACAGATGAAATCGCCCTCTA